TGTGATTAAGCTCAGCTATTGAACGGCGTGTATTTTAAAGTAAAGGCTTTAAAATCAAGTTAGTACAAACGTCACTAATGTCACATGACTTTGCCGACATGTGGCCAACAGTAATGTTTAATGTTCTTCGTTATTAAACATCAATAAGTGACATCATATTCAGTACTTAAAGTTTACTCTTTGGGCGCCCCTCATCCGCCGTTTTTTTTCGGCAAAATTATCCACACCCACCGCCACGCTATGCATTCTGGGATATGTTGGGCCACGAAGTCTACACCGCCACGTCCTTAAAATTCAGGGAAATGAAGGACGCATTTGAGGGCCGCATTTCGAGCAGCCTTTGAATTGGGACAGCCTTCGTCTGTCGCAGTTACGTAATTAAAATGCGGCCTTTCAGGCTGCAGACCCTGGATTGGGATACAGCTAGGAGTGGGTATCGTCACTGATTTCTAGAATCGATTAAATTCCGATTCACAAGGTCCCGAATCGATTCGATCCACGATACGATTTAATTCGATTCGATTTGAATCTGGGAAATTTTGACAGTCAGAAATATAATTCAGATCAGCACATTTACATATTTTTGTATCTATAAAAAGGAAGCTGACACACGCAAGACTTTATCACAGGTGTGAGCGTCACAGCGAGGCCTTTGTGTCAAAGTAGCTGAAGATAAAACAGAAAAACATGAAGGTTTTCCTGTTCTGGATTTTATAAAAATATTCTGCAGTAGATCAAAAACGAAAGAAAACCATTAATCAGCACATGAACATTACCTCTGATGTTACAGCGGTTTTATTACAGACAGCGTTTTGAATTTTGCATAATTTTAAAAAGTTTACATTTGTTCAGTATTGAACAGCAGAAATTAGGTTTTCTTTTCGGAAGTTAGTAAAAGGAAAAAAAAACAAAAAAAACAACAAAAAACAGCGGCCGACAGCCTGTAAGCAACAGTTGACTTGTGCGTAACAAGCAAGCGAATAATGAAGAAAACAGATTTTTAGACGGGAAACTGTTCTTGAAGTACAGAGAGAGGGAGCTGTGCATCGTGATGGAAGCAAAACAGCAAAAGTCAGAGTGAGTTCATGACGATGTTTATGTGAAGTTTGGATCTTCTTTTGCTGCTGGTTCAGTCAATGTTGTTTGGAGATAAACTAACAGCTTTAGAATCGGCGCATAAAGGGCGTGAACACAAAGCGCGGACCCGCCGACACATCAGAATCAGCGAGCTGTCGGCTTTCAGCCCCGACTGTGAGAAAGGCGACATTAACTGATTCTGATCCGCAGGTTTAGTCTTTGTGCAGAATCCGTGTTCCTGCTCTCATTGGTGGTTGTTGAAATTTTGTGAGATGTCACCAGAGATTCTGGCATTTCGGGCAAAATAAATTTATATTAAATCGATTCAGGATTTTAATGAATCGATTGTAATCGATAAATCGATTATAAAACCCAGCCCTAGATACAGCCTTTGTTTACTCATTTTCCATGAGGAAAACTGATTAGCGTTAGTGTCATAATACCATCCATCCATTTCACAGAGCGGGTGGAGGGGCACAGCTGTGACATAATATAAAGCAGATGAACTACACCCACATAACCAGAACTAATAAAGCTCTGCAAAGGGTTTTTGCAGGTGCGACATGAGTTAGCTACCATTAACTTCCGGCCCTTTAAGTCAGGCTCAGACCTCTAAACCACCAAATACATAAAGTCACGGGCGGGACAATCTGTGAAATCTCCTCTTATATTGTAGCTCACCTGTAATTATGTGTTGTTACGTCTGGAGATGAAAACTGGTCATTTCCGCAGCTGAAATATCCGGAAATGCCGTCACACTGCAGGAAACGGGTGCGCACGAGGGACGCGGGGGAAGTGTTATTAGATAAATGATCAGAGATAACAGCCTCGATCAGTGCTGCTCGGTTTATTGAAACTGTTGTACATGTTCCCCACTACACGTGTTAAACATGTGTTTATAATAGTGATGGGTCGTTCGCGAACGAAATGTCTCTTAGAGCCGACTCCTTATCGCGAGCCGTCACGTGGGTTTTTTTTGTTTTTTTTTTCTTTCTCTCTCTCTCTCTCGCACTTTTTTTCCGCTTCACTCTGCACGCGAGCCTTGTGCTTTACGCTGGGCAGAGGGGGGAGGGGCGGTAGTTACACTCAGTAGCACAGGAACAGAGCGGGAGAGAGAGAAAGAGAGGCAGGGACAGCAACATTAGAAAGGTATAGTTGGTTGCAGATGATAAAGGATTGAGAAAGTTTATTCATGCAGGTCCATATGACAGAGAATATGCATGTTCTTTTAGTTTTCATATTATAATTTATATTTAATTGTGTTGTGGTTTGCAGTGTTTTGTGTTCTTTTCACTTTAAATTTGTGAAAGGAAAAAGCTGAAAATTTAAATAGTTAAAACTTGAAATGTGAATAGTTGATTTTTGTATTATATGATTTATTTATTACATTTTATGTGGAGTGAATAAATAAAAGTATATTTACGGTGGCCCCTAGAGACAAAGCACATACAAACTTCAAATCACGTACGAACTCTGAAGCATGTACAAACTCCAAAACACGTAAAAACACGTACAAACTCCAAAACACGTAAAAACTCCAAAACACGTAAAAACACGTACAAACTCTGAAGCACGTAAAAACTCAGAAGCACATAAAAACTCAAAACACGTACAAAAGACAACAGAAGTGCTCCAGGATGCTGGGCGCAGTGTTGAGCCTTTGTTATCTTGTGGCTACACAAGCCAGCAAGTACCAACGACCGGATTTGGTGTGTGGTAGTAACAGGTAAATGAACTTTTTTTTAAATTATTTGAATATATATATGAGTGCCTGTGTATAAATACACAAACAATACACACATGCTTTCAATTGTGTAATTTAAGTGATCTAGTAGCTCTGCTTTGGAAGTTCAGTTCATGCTAGAAATGTGTTTTGGAGTTTGTACGTGTTTGTCTCTAGGGCCACCGCATATATTTATATATAAACATATAAATAAAACCACTTTTTTTAAACGTTAGTAATTCCTTTTGTGCATAATTTTATATCATTGTTAATAATAAATTAAAGCAACAGAACAACCTGAAGAGCCGGTTCGGAGCCGAAAGAGCCGGCTCTTTTTAGTGAGTCGAACCGAAAGAGCCGGATCTCTAAAAAGAACCGGAAATCCCATCACTAGTTTATAACAGGACCAGTGAGTGTCACAGCAGGACATGTGCTCCTCGGCAGAGGTGGGTGGCTCTGAAAAGAGCCGTTGGGTGGATGCAGCAGAGCTGCAGTTTACTTGGAGCTGGTGTACTTGGTCACGGCCTTTGTGCCCTCGGACACGGCGTGCTTGGCCAGCTCACCGGGCAGCAAGAGGCGCACGGCGGTCTGGATCTCCCTGGAGGTGATGGTGGAGCGCTTGTTGTAGTGAGCCAGGCGGGAGGCCTCAGAGGCGATGCGCTCGAAGATGTCGTTGACGAACGAGTTCATGATGCTCATGGCCTTGGAGGAGATGCCGGTGTCGGGGTGCACCTGCTTCAGCACCTTGTATACGTAGATGGCGTAGCTCTCCTTCCTGGTCTTTCTCTTCTTCTTGCCGCCCTTGCCGGCGGTTTTAGTCACGGCTTTCTTGGAGCCCTTCTTGGGCGCGGACTTTGCGGGTTCAGGCATTTTCCTTCGTCGCTACTTCCCAGCAGAGAATGTGCCCGTCAGCGCAGAGCGGCTCTCTTTTATTTCCGCTGTATGCAAATAAGGCTGTGCAGATCCGCGCCTGTCATTGGTCGAGCTGTTGCTCCGCGTCTTTACTGGGTAAATCGCACAACGAAGAAAAAGAGCAGTGCTTTATTTAACCTGCTGACGGGGCTGTGGGACATTTATCGGGAGTGCGGAAGAGCAGATTTAAATGTGTTGCTTCAGTACGTGTGCAGACAAACATTGATCCATGTGTGAGTTACAACATCACACAAAGACCGAGACAGCCGACGGAAGCTCCGGGAGAGGCTCGGCTGATAATGACGGTCCTTCGAGAGCCGCACAGCGGACTGCAGAGCCCAGGACGCCGCAGCTGCCAGAAACAGAGACTTTGTTTATTCCCCAGGGCCAATTAAGACACACCAGAGCAGCATGACGCTGAAGATAAGGGCGGGGCATAAACAGGCAACAGGAGTGAGATAATAAATGCACAGAATATACAGTATAGACAGTTTTCCAATTAAAGAGACTGAAAGGTGAATAAAAAACTGATTAAAAGTGAGTACAGTGTCGGCAGTATGAAAAGAGTGTAGTTTGTTTCTGGGTGTGGGAAATGGTCCAATGGCTGGAGTTAACAAGCTCCCCCGTAGCTGTGAGCTGCAGTTTGATCGTATATGAACAGATTGTGTAAACCAGGGGTGGGCAACTGCAGGCCTCGAGGGCCGGTGTCCTGCAGGTTTTAGATCGCACCCTGGGTCAACACACCTGAATCACATGATTAGTTCGTTACCAGGCCTCCGGAGAACTCCAAGAAATGCTGAGGAGTCATTTAGCCCTTTAGATCAGCTGTGATGGATCATGGACACATCTAAAACCTGCAGGACACCGGCCCTCGAGGCCTGCAGTTGCCTACCCCTGATGTAAACCATAACGACAGTGCACTAATCCACACTTTCATCCTAATTGGCAGTGATAACTGAAATGACAGAAAGTTCTGGTAGCTCTTTGCCCGGCCTGCTTTTATTTAACAGCAGTTTAATGATTGGATATGGAGCAAAACGTCTGAGCAGCAGATCAAACAGGTTACAATGATCATTTAATTATAAATGACTTGAAGTGCACATTGAGGCTGCGAGACACTGAGCCATGGCTCGGTTCTTATTGCACATCTCTGCCATGCAGGACGGTTTATTTTATATTGAACTGGAGCTTTAGTTTTCTCCCCCTCCACAAACTTCCGTGTTCATATAAAACACTTAGGGAGATCATGAGGTTTAAAGCCTGGCTCAGTGAAACTTTGTCCTCCAAGCTGAAACCTCAGTGTCTCCAGCCAGCTGCTTATGAACTCTGCAGTCCTGTAACCACTCAAACGCAGCTGTGCTTGACACGGTCTGTGGGCCTGCACCGCTACACTTCCTGTCCGCTACACACCTGTGTAGTAATACAGTACAATCAATACTAACCCACACTGCATGCTCTGTTAGTGAGCAACAGACTCCAAACAGCACTTAGCTGAGGGCCAGGTAATACATAGTCTGTGCTGTAAACCGCTGCTCTGAGTGCGTGTACGTGGCTCTTAAAAGAGCCGTTGTGTTTTGTGTAAACTGATCTCAGATCAGCTTAAGCCCTCTCTCCGCGGATGCGGCGGGCCAGCTGGATGTCTTTGGGCATGATGGTGACCCTCTTGGCGTGGATGGCGCACAGGTTGGTGTCCTCGAACAGACCGACCAGGTAAGCCTCGCTAGCTTCCTGCAGAGCCATGACGGCGGAGCTCTGGAAGCGCAGGTCGGTCTTAAAGTCCTGAGCGATCTCCCTGACCAGGCGCTGGAAGGGCAGCTTACGGATCAGCAGCTCGGTGGATTTCTGGTAGCGGCGGATCTCCCTGAGAGCCACAGTCCCGGGCCTATAACGGTGGGGCTTCTTCACGCCTCCGGTAGCCGGGGCGCTTTTACGGGCAGCCTTGGTGGCGAGCTGCTTCCTGGGAGCTTTTCCTCCGGTGGATTTTCGGGCAGTCTGCTTGGTCCTGGCCATCTTACAGCTTCGGGCTCCTCTGTGTGAACAGCGAAAGAGAGAATGAAGTCTGAGCGCGAGCAGCGGCTTTATACAGGGGCTGCAGGCGGGAGCTCAGCGCTGATTGGTCCAGATCTGGTAGCGCGCGCACCGCAGCTGCTCAGCTATTGGACGAAAATGTTCAAAATGAAGCGCGAGACAGAGAACAGAACTTCTTTATTGTTATTCAGATGTACAGTGAGACGGCGCCGCCTACTACTGCACACATGCGGGGTGCACAGCTTCAGCAGCACGTTACACATATGAACAGTATTCAAAAAGATAAGATGTACGAACAAACCGGGAAAAATAAAAATACATTAGTGTTACATACATGTAGAGTGTGGGTTACTGCACAGTGCTTATGTGAAGTCTACAGAGGTCTTTGAGATGGGGGTGGGGGGCTAATTCAAATTTAACTTTAAACAACAGCAGGTAATAAACCAGTAAACCAAGAAAACAAAGCCATCCACAGCTTCAGTGCACTCATCAGCTCCTGTCATCAGCACCAGAATAAACTGGAAATATTTGCAGCACTGACTGGGAAATAATTCAGGTTTCAAAGTATCATTGAATCACTGCCTAGCTAATTATCAGATTGTATTTATTGACATAAGACTGAAACTCATGTTTCTAATGTTCTGACAATTCAACATGCATTTCCCCCTTCAGTGAGCTAACTGGGAGACCAGTATTTTCTACCTGAACCGGCTCAGTCTCCATAATTTACTCTGCATGTGGAGGCACAGGTGAGCATGAAGCGTAAAGCTGAGTGCGCAGCCTGTGTGGCCCCGGCCTAGTCTCTCTCACTCTCACACACACACACACACACACACACACACACACACACACAGAACGAGGAGCTCGTAGCGGAGGCTGTGGTGGCTCTGAAAAGAGCCTTTGATGCACTCTGTGCGGGAGAAGCTTTTACTTCTTGGCCTTCTTTGGCGCAGTTTTCTTTGCGGGCTTCTTGGCGGCTTTGGGCTTTTTCGGAGCGGCCTTCTTAGCGGGGGACTTGGGCTTCTTGGCTGCCGCCTTGGGCTTCTTGGGAGCAGCCTTCTTGGGGCTCTTCTTCACCACTTTCTTCGCAGCCTTCTTGGCCGGAGATTTCTTCGGGGTGGCCACTTTCTTCACCGCGGGCTTCTTGGCTTTGGCGGGAGCCTTCTTCGCGGGCTTGGCAGCCTTCTTCTTCGCTGGTTTCGCGACTTTCGGTTCTTTCTTAGCAAGCTTGAAGGAGCCGGAAGCCCCGGTGCCCTTCACCTGACTGAGAATGCCTTTCTCCACCAGCTTGGCGACGGCGGTGTTGATACGTTTGTTGGCCTTGGGTACGTCCACATTTTTGGCGGTCAGGTACTTCTTTATGGCCGCCAGCGACGTTCCCTTGCGCTCCTTCGACTCTGTCACCGAGGCGACGATGAGCTTAGGGAGGCTGGGTCCGTCCTTCTTAGCCCGGGGAGCGGACTTCTTCTTGGGAGCCTTGGCCGGGGCTTTCGCCGGTGCAGCTGCGGGAGCTTCTTCTGCCATGTCTGCGCGTGAGCTTCGTACTGAGCATGTCGGAGCTTTGCGCGGGAGGCGGGACTTATCAAGCACATGAGAACCATGGAGAGTGAAGCCAGCCCTCCGCTCTGCTGCCGCTACAATCGCGGCTCTTCTTGTGTTTTCTTCGCCGCGTTTCGGAGCTCAAACCGGCCCCAGATAAACGTTTGAAACCCCCGTTCCGAGGCAGCGGGGAGAAAACCCTCCGGTCTCCCGTCTGATCCTGTTTTTGCCCTTCGGGACTTCTTCCGTTAATTTCGGGAGGCTTCAAACCTCTCTGACACACCGCCTCTCGGAGCAGCTCGCAGCGAACTTTCTCCACATTTCTGCTCCTAAAGTGACCCAAAGCGGTTCGGATGAAATGTGATCTCGGTGCTCCGGTCAGCGAAGACCCGTGGGGACAGAGTCCCGGTGAAACAGCGGCAGTGCCGGGGATAGTTGGGTTCTAACGGAGGCAGATTTCGGTGGCGGTAAACACACGCAGGCTGCCGGTGACCGGGCGGATATAGAGTCACAGATGATCCGCTGGGAGAGACTTCCCTACATCCAGTCTGACTGTACACGCTGATGTGATATTATACTGTTATCTATAATATCACACATCAGCGGTTTCATTCTGGTGTTCAGTGTTAGACTGGAAACTGCAGGAAACTGTTTCTGTGTTTGCAGCGGAGCCCACAGCATTGAGAGACTTTAGCACCCAGGACCAGTTTATTCATGTTACATTTATGATCAGACATGTGCACAAAATTACTATTGCACAAAATTAAATGCTTTTGCAATTTAAGAAATTCTGTGGCAGAGTAGTTAGAGGCATCATCCATATGTAAATTAAAGTCACCTACCAAGATGATTTTATCAAAATGAATCATAACAGAGGAGAGGACAGGAGATTAGAGAGTTCATTCAGGGAATGTTTGCAGGATTTGGGAGGTTGATAGATTAATAATTCAAAGGAGTTAAAAGAACCAGGATTAAATGGACACAGTTCAGATGGTCCTTATAAACCACTGCGACTCCCTCGTGACAACAGTCACCTGGTTTGAGTCTCAAGGAAGAAGAAAAAGTCTCATTTCTGAGCTGTGATAAAATGTTATGCATGAATGATTTATTAGATTAAAAAAAGGCAACAACTGCAGCAGAGATGGGCTCAAGAGGAATAGGTTTACATCACACAGAAATTAGATCACTGAGTTTGGTTTGATTTTATGAGATGTTTTCCATCTATGCCTTATAATTACTGGGACTGGTAAAGATGAGGCATGCAAAGAATGTAAAATATAACGAAGATGTGTGTAGATATATATATTTAAGAAATAAGAAGGAGAAGGAAGAGGAGGAGGAAAATCAAATGATGTCTCTTAAAGAGGACATTGATCGAGTCAATAGAGAAGTTTTATTTAATATGTTGCGACGTACTGACTTTCACGGGAACAGTGATTATATGATTTTTAATAATCAAAAGAAAAGTCGGAATGACTTTATTGTCTCAATTAAGGATAAATATGGAAAGTCAGTTTTTAAAGAAGAGGGGAAAAGACAAGTGATTAGAGACTATTGTTCGGAGATGTTTTCATCCATAGTTACAAACAGCGACGCTATTAACAATTTTTTGAGTGAGGTTGAACCATTAGATTCTGTCATTTATGAAACTTTGATTGGGAAAATTAAAAGAGAGGAAGTGGAGTCAGTAATTAACCAACTTAGTACCGATAAAACACCTGGTCTGGATGGACTCCCCTCTGAATTTTACAAAACTGTGAGTGAAGAACTGTCTGAATTGTTAACTCAGTATTTTAATGAAGGAATAGAAAGAGAAACAATGGGTAAATCGTTTTATGAAGGAGTTATGTGTTTATTATATAAGAAAGGTGATAGAGAAGACATTAACAATTATAGGCAACTGACAATAATGAATGTAGATTATAAGATTTTTGCTAAAATAATTATGTCTAGACTAGAGGATGTATTAGATATTATCATTGAAAAAGAACAAACATGCGCAATTAAGGGACGATTGATGTGGGATAACTTAAGTATGTTAAGAGAAATTATTTATAATGGAAAGGACTCAGAACTCTGCATTTTAGGATTAGATCAAAGGAGGGCTTTTGATTCTGTTTCCCACTCTTATTTATGGAAAGTAATGAAAGCTTATAATTTTCCGGACCAATTTATTTCTATTATCCAATTGATTTATAAAAAGTCCCTAGTGCAAGTTAAGGTAAATGGAAAGCTCTCATCCCCTTTTAGTGCTGAGTGTGGGGTTAAACAAGGATGTCCTTTGAGTGCTGCGTTATATGTCCTTGCAATTAATCCCTTATTGAAAAGGATAAATGATGATAAACGGATCAAGGGATACGTCCTTGATAAATACCTTAAAATCGCAGCTATGGCGTATGCAGATGACGTGACGGTGATAATTAGAAACCAAAACGAACTGTCTTCAGTTATGGAGATATTACACCACTACGAACAGGCATCAGGTGCCAAACTGAACCAAGACAAAACTGAAGGGGTGTGGCTTGGACATCCGACCAGACAACCTAAAATGATGATCTCTCTTTGTAGGGAGATTAAAATTCTGGGTATATGGATTGATAATACTGACTCTAGTTTACTAAATTGGAATAAGAAAGAAAATGAAATTAAAATGGAAATTATGAAATGGGAAAACAAAGATACAAATTATAAAACACGTATTAATATTGTAAAAACACACATAATTTCGAAACTTCTTTTCCTTGCCGCAATTTTTCCTCCTCCGAGAACAACTGTAATGAAAATAAGTAAGATGTGCATTAAATTTATCTGGGGATCCAATCGAGAAGTGACTAAGAGGAAATTTATGTACAAGAGTAGGAAGCACGGGGGCTTGGGAGCCCCAGACTTAGAGATTGTTTTGCGAATTCCTTTTATAAAAATTACTCAAAGCGCAATTTCTCGGGGTGCCCCGTGGGTTCGAGGGAAGGAGCAATTGTGGCAAAAGAAAAGAGGCAGGGCCAGAGCGGGCGTTCCATACCACAGACTTATGTTCGGTGACTTATCAAGTCAATGGGAACAATATAGTTTAAATATTCTCCAAGACAATACGAAAAATATCTATAAAAAATTTAATGAAACCAAAAATGAAGGTGTAATTCAATATAAGTATGCAAATGAAGATGAAAACCTTTCAATAGTTAAAAATATACAAGACAAATTATTATCTGAAAGCATGAGAGACGTGGTATGGCTCATCTCGCTCGGGCGCCTCCCTGTGAGAGCGGTGGTACAATGGAGTTGTTTTGTTACCACCATGAAATGCCCTATGACAGGCTGTGATGAAGATGAGACCCTAGAACATCTCCTATTGGATTGTTATAGGACAACTGAGATCAGGCAGAAAATGACAGAAATTGGCTATGATGTGGATGTTAATATTAAAGCAGTTAAATATGGTTTGTTTAAAGAAAAAATGTGTGACGAC